GGTCAGGAGTTCATTTCATTTTTGTTCCTCCAGAAATGATCTGTAGAAATAAGAACAGGGAAAGTCTAGAAGGATAATAAAAATGATGTGAGTTGTTCCTGAAGCTTTGGGCCGTTATTACGGCTCCACTGAAGGGCGGGGTCGTCTCACTTTTAAGGCTCACAGTCAGGTTTAATGAATTCCTTTTTAAAAACGAAAGCACTCTGAGCTCGGCGTACATCCAGCTCCTCTTAAGTAGAAAATGATGAAGTGCTGTTTTTCATCAGATAACCATGCAGACCTGCAGCTCTAATTAAAATGTGACAAAACCATCAAACCTGAGTGTGTGTTGATGCATTACCATGCAAATTAGAGCACTCTGATCAGCTGATTCACAAAGTGTGAAGTCAGACTGTACTGTTTTTCATTTTGAGTTATGGGAGGGAAATGATGCACAGAAACCAGTTTGTCCAACCAACCTGCAGGTAAGTTACCGTCACAACAGAATAAGTGATTCTGTCAGCTGATGCAGGATCAAGATTTAATTAAAAACAAACATCATGGTGGTTTAACACCCTCACAGACAAAAATATGTAAAGGTCACCTGAATTTATTTGAATTTTGTGCTCATAACATTGTTAAAATGAGTTACCTCCTGTTGTCCTCGGGTCATGTTGACCGAGGACATGTACTTAAAAAACATTTTTTTAATTGCAGCTGCATACAGCTTCTTTAAATCTAACAGTCCTGCATCAGAACTACGGTGTTCACAACTCAGATGGAATTTTATGCTGAAGCAATTTAAATATGAACTTGACGAAAACAAAAAAACAAAAAAAACAAAACCAGGCCTCGGGTCAAAATGACCCGAAGACAACAGGAGGGGTAAGTCATTGGTTAGTGGAAACTCGGAGCTGGGTTTGACGTCAGAATTTCAACATAAACTCTTTATAAACATAATTGTAAGTTTTACTTTCCATCAGCAAAAACTTATTTCAATTTGTTCAGTTTAGAGTAACAGGCGTTTCCACTCTATCATGTTGATGCGAGAAGCGGCCATCTTGAAACAGGAAGTTGCCGTTTCAAGTCAGAACTTTGGTAGTGGGACTTGGAAATCCAAATTTGTTCCAGTTTACTTTTCAAACTGGGAAATTAAAATTCCCCAGTTCTCAGTACAACTGGAACAAAACATCAGACTTTGAGTTTTATCTCCAGTTGAAAGAGAAAAAAACAAACAAATCTCAAAAGTTAAAGGTGACTGTATTTACAATGTGTCTGCAGCACGTTTTTGTCAAATATGTTGAAAAAAATCATTAAAAACATGAATGAGAAAAGCAGTTTTGGGAATTAAATGTTGAAAGTGAAGATGTGAACTCAATTCAAAAGGTTAAGATGGTGAACCAGGAACATGAATCAATTCATTGTAACCAAAGTGAACTGAGTTTTAAGAACTAGTTCGTGTTAAGGATATGTAGTGATCCATCTCCTGGGTTTGTTTCTTGAATATCTTTGCTTCACACACACAGACTGTGAGCTGACGTAGATCTTAATGTCATGTCAGTCATTTAGTCTGCGGGCGGCTCCATTAACTAACCGCCCCCTATAGACACAACACCAATTAACTGGGAGAAAAACTCTCTTCATCTGGCTCTCAGTCAGCCGGTTTACATCCACAAAGTCCATTTCAGACGAGTCTGCAATTAATGCTGCCTGCGTGTCTGCCGGTGAAAGGTCACAGAGCTCAGGAGGAGTTAAAGGTAAATGAAATGTTCTTTATTTCTTTGTTTATTTGCTGTCAGTCAGCTCTTGCAGCTAGAAGTCACAAATACAGTAACAGCTGCACAGATAGCAGAGCTGCAGTTCACTGAGTTCACTGAGTCACTTCTGATGCTGAAAGGCTCAACCTTCATGCTTTCATTTATCTACAATTAATATTATAACTTCCAGTGTTCAGTCTGATCACTCATTAGCTTTATTACTGGACCTGCAGCTGGTTAACTGCTAATGATCCACATCAAACAGGCTGCAGCATAATTGCTAAATTAATACAATTATGCTGGTTCCTGGGAATCAACTGTTATCTGGACGCCACCTGATAACATAATGTTAAGTACGGGGGAGAATCCATGATGCTGCGGGATTGTTTCTCCTCCAAAAAGCCTGCGAACCTCATCAGAGTGTTCAGCATCGGGAAATCTCTGGAAAACTGAATATCACTGCAGTTTTCAGCAGGATAATGATCCAAAATTTACACATTTGTTATTGGTCAAAAACAACAAATAATTCACTTTATTCCTTATACAGTATTGAGTAATTTAGGCCATTTTTTTAAAATTTTTTTTTTTTAATGTGAAAATAACGACAGTAAAATGTCAATGCAGCGTATTGAACAGTTTTCTTGCTCATTACTTTTTCATTCTTTATAATTATTCTGCATTTATGTTTGTGTTCTTGTGTGATTGGTTGAGGATAAACAGACTTTAATCCCTGAGGTTAACCTGCGGCGATGATGATGATGATGATGATGATGATGTAAGCAGTGGGCGGAGCCTCTGAGGTTTCCTGTCTCCCTCTGGGGAGATTAAAGGATTCCTGAATGAAGCGTGACTCGCCCGCCCTCTCTCTCCTCGTCTCCACATTACCGGTCACCATGGCGATGGAGCGCCGATGCGGGATCTCTGCCCTCTATATTTACTCTGTTGCCGTGGTGACGACGAGGATGGAGGGGGTAAACTTCTGGGTTAATGTGATGCCGTTTTATTGTTTTGGCCTGACTCTCACAGATGGTGAAGACACCTGAACGTCCCAGCTGCGTTCACTGCTCTCTGGAAATAACACCTCAGACTTCAGCTTCACATATTAAATGATAATCTCTACTTCACTGAATAAGACATGTTCATGTGTTAAAAGGGCCATTATTTCCTTTCCATCTAACATCCGGAGGTGGGAGCGGATCTGCAGTGTTAAAAACAGAATATTTTTAAACTTGACAGCCTCAGGAAGGCTGCAGCTTTTAATTGATGCTAATTGCTGGCAATGTCCCCAACGTGTGCCAAGAAGAACAACTTTAAAATCTTACTGCATGAACAAACTCTGACCCAAACTACCTGAATGTTACAACTAAAATTTTTGATCTGTCTGTACAAACTGTATTGTGTGTTTCCTGTTCTGAGAGAAGTGATGAAGCGTGTCTCATAAAGCAGCCGCTGTGTCTCCTCTGAGCTGGGAACAGAGCTGGACAGAAGGTTAATGGGTCGAGGAAGGATTGTTTTTACTTTTTGGACCCGTTATTTTACCAACTTACTTATAAGTGGAAGATGATGGATTTTACAGATGTATTTTTACGTAGAGGTGATGTATCTGACCTGAACAAGTCTACAGCTGCAAGCGACTAATTTTTCCTCGACAGTCTAAAGGACAGATCTGATCTTTCCACCCCACAAAAAATCTGATTTGAACTAAATCGGATATCTGATTTTTATTCAAAGCGTCTTCAGTCTGAATGGTCATGTCCCTTTTTATCCAACTTACAACGTTGGTAGAGACGTGCGTCGTTATTCACAATAATTCTGCTCCAGAAAAAGACAGACGACGATGATTCTGAAACTACAGTTTGTTTCAATGACATCACAATCCCACCACTCTTGGTTCTGACTTCATAGCCAAACAGATTTCTCTGCTGAAGTTTCAGGCGATGCTCCACAAACCTCACTGCTAATATCAGCTTATTTTTTCTTGTTACAGTCCAGTGATGATCCTGTTGAATAAACTCATTTCTGCAATCAGAGCGCTGAAGTGTGCCATCCACGTTCTTCTTCTGCACTTTAAATTTGTTAACACATAGAAGTTTGGCAGGAGTCACGTTTAATTAGTAAAACAAAGGACTGAACATGAAAAATGTTATTTTAGTCATTGCTAAGTCGTAGCCTTAGCAACAACCGTCTCCACAGAAGAATTGTAGTTTTTCCTGATAAACTTTTATGCGGCGTTTGCAGCTTTCAATGCCGTTCAGATCCCTGATCACGAAGGCTCAGCTCAGATTGTGAAGGCCTGAACAAAGTGAGAAGTTCACTTAAAAACCTGATATGACGCATCTCCCATCAGCTGCTTCTTAATGACGAGGAGTTTTTAAATGCCTCGTGTGTCTCTGAAGTCCTGAACAGAAATAGATTTAGACGGCTGCGATCCAAGAAACGAGCCAGAAAACACTCCTGGCTGGATGGGAACAAACAGCATCACTGCAGCTGTGCCTCCATTTTTATCTTCATCTTTCACATCCTCAATCGCATCTTTATTTAATCCCTAGTAATTCAGAACTGAATATCTTTACAACACGTGCTGTTGTATATAAACACTTTCTAACCAGTTAAAGTCAACCTCACAGTTTGTAAAGGCTAAACTTTTTGGTGGAAATTCAAGATAAAAAAGGAAAGTGAGATTTTAAGAGACAAACTCCACTAATAAACTTTACTAAAAACTAAAAGCTGACATCTTTGTATATATCAATGACATCGGCATGTAGATATGAGCCCATCAGCAGGTTGGTGTGAAACGTAAATACACAAAAAACTGTAATAAAACTACTACAGATACAAAATGATACAAATCTGAATACTCATGTTAACGTCTCCTCCCTTCTCTCTGCCCATTTCCTTTCTGGTGACTCTCAATAAAGGTTTCTAGTACCAAAAAAACCCTAAAATAAAAGACATCAGAGATGAGAAAAATCTGCTTAAGAACTTTTCCTAAACTGTATCAGAGTGGAGAAAACTCAAACAAAAACCTGAGGAGTTTGCTAATTAAAAAAACAATGGAATCACAAAGTGAAAGAAGAAGCCATGATTACAAAAGATTAGTTCCCCAGCCTCTCTTATTCAGGATTGATCCAGCTGTTGAAAACTAAACTTTCCCCTAAATGCTTCAACAAGGCCATTAATGTTTGCTGATAGTTGTGTTAGCCACAGAGGTCGATGCCACTCTAATATTTGCTGGATCTCAGAGAACCAGTGGTGTTTGTTTACCTTTGGATTGAGGACCAGCTGCTGTTCGTCGAAGTGCAGCAGCGCCACAGAGTTGGACTCAGAGTTGTTGACAAAGATCTGCAGGCAGGGATACAGCGACGTTCCCTTACAGTCGGCTCCACATGTAAAAACACACTCAAACATCTCCTCAGGACGAAGCACAGACACCACCTGCAAAACAAGATGGATGATCAGCAGAAGCACCAATCATTTACCGTCTACACCAAAAACAAAATGAATATGTTTAGTTCTGGGAAATCACTTTGTATGTCCAAGGAAAGGAAGCTTTAATTAATGCCTTGAAATTTCTGAAAGTTTCAGAGAAGTACACTGTAACATCCTGGGTGTGTGAAATAAACAAATAAAATGCTGTCTTATCATATCCAGTGCAACATCTGAGACAATGCAAGTGTCTTTTGTCACTGCTGACATTTACCACTGGACTTTGACACAGCAGTTAACCTTCTTTAGTGTTTATGGACCGGTCAATACAGGACAGTTTGTAACAGGACCAACATTAAACCCAACTGCATTTTACAAAGAAGAATCCCATTCTGTCATGTAAACCAGAAAAGTCAAGAAAAGTGAAAATGAGCAATCCAAAAGATGAGTGGTCTCTCACTCGCAGTCTGAAACAACGAAACGAACGAACAAACAACAAATGGAGCCGACGCCATCAATCTAACCTGCTTCTATAAAAATCAGGCAGTCTTCACTCAACAGGCCAAAGAGCTGCAGTAAACGCAAGTTTTCTGATTTATGTTTTATTATGTCACAGATTCACAAATGGCACATTGGAAGAGCGCTCTAACACATGACCAGAACCTGCACAATTCAGAAAAATACCCTCCAACTGACGCATGAACATCAGTCCAAGATGATGCAATAAGCTAACAGCCGAATAAATCATCTGAATGAATTCATCATCCAAAGCACACAGCATAAAGTGCAGGCGCTGGAAGCCTGTAATTCATTTCATGCATATATTCCCAAAGGCTTTGAAATGCCACAGCCTGAAGAGCTGAACAAATCCACTTTTCATCGACAACCGAAAAGATTAAAATGAGTAAATCAGAAACAAAACATCTGTCTGAGGCTGATTGTTTGACTGTTTTTAAAAAATACATTTAATTGTCAACACTAAAGGTCATGTTGGTCTCCTGGTTCAGAACTGACCTCTTTACATTTATTAGTGGCCAGCTACAGAAGCTCCTTAGAATAGGCAAAAAAGTCCATCAAAATAAAACTATGGTGATGCTTCTGAAGATGAAAAATGAGTTCGATTCTCTAACAACATTACAGTTTTCATAACTTGTGTCCAAGTGTAGAAATCAAGTTTCCATCTTTAACATAAAGGAGTGTTGAGAAAACAGAGACAAGTGTTTTCACAGCCATGGATCTAAATCTTCATTACAAGGAAAACACTGAATTGAGTTCCTCCACAAAAATACTAATCCTGATGTTCAACATGGTCAGTTGTGTTAAGCAGCTTGTGAAACATTTCTCTGATCTCAGCCAGTTGTCAGGGAACCAAAGCACTTTACCAAAAAGACTCTGTCTCCTTTAATCAGGTTGTTTGACGTTCTGCTGCCAAAACGGATGGCTGCACCCAGAACTGAGCTCTACAATCAGAGGCAAACATCAGGCAGCAGACACTTAAGTATACTTTGGCTTTTGTTCAATTTGTGAACACATGAAACGTCAAAGTGATGAAGATTAAAAGAGGTGCTAACCACAGTAAACACAGCGTGTAGCAATTACTGTTTCTATGGAAACCAATAGAGAAATAAATCAAGACAATGACAATAAAATGTTCATGGAATTAGAACAAAACTGTAAAAAGAACAAAACAGCTGTAAAAATAAGACAGCTGAATACTTTCTAATAAATACATTGTATTTTCTTATCCAGCATTTAATTAGAGCAGGTAAAACTTTCTCCTCAAACAACAGAAGTGATCTGCAGTTTCTTTATGTAGAAAAACTAGATAAACTTCAGTAGTTTGACTAACATGCCTTTTTTTTTTTTTTTTTAACCAGACTCTGCAGTCCTAAAACGGCATAAAAACTCAGAAACTGCAGATCTGGTTCTAAACGGTGCAATTATCTGAGACTGTTTTAACAGACTAAGTTTATAGAGCACTAATCAGACTGCAGGATGACTTCATTTCTGTAGCGTCAGTGATTCAGTTCAGTCAAGGCGTCTCCAGATGATACTTCAATATAATATTTACTGTAACTGGCCATAAAACTCCATGTGAATGGGCAGTAACAGAATAAATTCAACTGATTTAAGCTGAATTTGATACAAAACCTTATTAATTTATTACTAAACTAATTGGACTAAAATGACTGAATGTAATTAAACTGTGCAGTCAGTGAGGCGGTGACGCACCAAGTTTCCCTGGATGAGGAGTGACAGCTCAGCGTTATAGATCCTGTCAGATCAGATCAATCATGTTCCACTGATCACCTTCACTTTGCATCAACTTGATCAACACGGAGCAACATCTGATCACTACAGCCTCCTTCACTGTTTAAGGAATTAACTGGTCATTACAAACAGATTGGAATCTGAACAGTATTACGCATATTAAAGCTGCTGTTTGTGACTTTTATTAAATATTTATACATTTTAACATATTTGTTGAATTTGTCACTGAACTGCGACAGATTGGAATGAGACAAATAATCTGTGAAGAAAAAGAAAAAATCAAGCTCCTCTGCTGTTTCCCAATGCTACACAAAAACAACCAATCACATCCTCTGTTTAGCATCCCTTTGATCTCTGTTGTGAATGCTAAGGCTACTTAGCATAGCCATTGATGACAGCAGATAAATTGTTTTCCAGTAACAATAAGTTGTTCCTCCCATTAGAACATTTAGCTGCAAGTAGACAAGGATGATTGACAGCGCTAAGACCCGCCTCCTGGCTCTGATTGGTTGGTTTTGACATTTCTTCAGATGGCAATAGCAGCTCAGGGAGAAGGTGGAGGCGACTGATCGTTTCACAGATTATCTCTCATATTATAACTGTCATGACTTGGCAACAGTTTTAACAAATATGTAAAAAACTTATTTTTTTAACATAAATGCAGTGATAATATATTTTTTGTAGTTCTTCACTAGTTTAAGTACAAATTATTGTGTTTAAACCTGAAATGTTTCACTTCGTTAGTACACTTAGCAGATACTTTGTTAGGTACAAGGTGAAGCCGATTGTCTGAACATCAAATGGGGTTTAAGTGTCTGGATGTGATGTATTGCTGGTACCAGATGGACTGGAAGGACTGTTTCAGAAATGTCCCATTTGCTGGGATTTTCACAAACAATCACATCTGTCAGAGAGCAGAGGAAAATCACACACTTCCAACAAACTAAATGCAATATCAGCTGTAAATACACAGCATGTTAAAACTCTCAAAACTGTGAGATGAAACTGGAAACATCAATTCAAAAAGGATCAATTCGTAAAATATGTGACTGGCAAAAACATAACTGTGAACATAAATGATAAAAAATGGAAATGACTGCCAATAAAAACTGTGTGGTGCAGTTTTTAATCATTCATGGCTTCCCTTGCAACATGTGAAGTTATTCCCAAAGTAAACCACAATAAACACATTTAATTTTACTGTTTTATGGGTTATCGACCAAGCTTCGCAGTCTGTAACTAAAACATCGTAAAATTAATGCAAATCGATGCATGCTGCACCGTTCAGGGCTCCCGGACATAATTAACACACTAAATCAAAGTCTCACTGGAACAGATGACTAAAAAAAGTAGATTTTTTTTTTCAAAGTGCATTTTGGTATCTAGCTAAAAAGTTTATTCAAAATTAAAACTGTGTTAGTAACATAAATAACCTGCAGCGCGATTAATCGCGTTAACCGGTATAATTTCAGCTCGGTGCGGGTCCGGTCCGGTTCTGACCCCACCGGAGCGCAGCGCAGCTCGCCGCCGGGCTCACCGTGCAGTTGGCCGGCTTGCTCTGCAGACTCTGCAGCGTCGGACTGAGCCAGCAGAAGCCCAGGATGAAGAGGCTGAGGATCCCACAGGCGATCAGGAACAAACCCAGCCGGATGCTCTTGTCCTCAGCCTCGGAGTACTCGTACGACACCCGGATCTTCGCCATGGCCCCCCGCGGAGACCTCCGCCGGCATGGAGAGCAGGAAGCGGGGATGAAAAGCGGACGGAAGGAGGAAGATGAGGAGGAGAAGCGGCTGCTGCTCACAGCCTGAGTTAATCAGCGGCTGCTTTCAGACTCTGAGTCCGTTTTATTTACTCTCTCTCCATCCTTCACTCTCTCACCATCTCTCCATTTTTTGTTGCATCTGTTTACTGAGATTTCCATAATCTGCCCTCCTCCCATCGCAGTGCTCTCTCTCCGGCTCACTTCCACTGTTTGCTTCAGAAACATCACAAAAAAGCTCTGACGACAAGAAAAATGGTTTACTTTTATATTTTCTCCAATTTACAACTTTAACATTTGTCCAACAAAATCTTAATTCACTGGATGTTTCTTTGTAAATGTTAAAGTCACCGATTACAACTAGTGTATGAAAAAAAAGATTAGGTTTTAACAAAGATTTCACTCATTTATCAAAAAGAGAAATAAGTGCTTTTAAGCTGAAAGAGACTGGTGGTCTGGGAGAACTTCCTGTTCGCCATATTGGAGGACAAACAATAGATTCATATTTTCCTTCCACGTCTGAGGACATTTTATGTAAACTGACAAAAAACCAGAATTTTTAATAGCGTGTTTAATTTATAGTGTTTTACTTTTCATTTTAACCTGAAGCTTACTGAGTATTAATGCTATGTGTTGAAAACTTTAACTTCTACAGGCCAGTTACATCACAGTTCAGAAGAGGACATGGTGAGTTTAATAGATTATTTTTGCTTTGGCAAATTCTCAACACATTCTAGTCCTTCAAAATCTAATATCGATTTAGATACCATCATTCAATTTTTAGCCTAAATCCAACAATGCATGCCACACTTTTAAGAGTTATTTATGTAACAAAAGAAACAAAAAACAACAAATTGCTTTCCTCTTCAATATTTTGCTCGACTTTGTGCAGATCTGTCACATTAAATCCAAATATCTGGAAGCTAGTTGTTGTTATGTGACTGATGTGGGATTTTTTTAAGAGGAAGAATAACTTTTGTAAAGCGTTGCCTGGTGAAGACTCTGCTGCCAGCAGCTCATGTCTGAGCTTGACCTTCTCACAGGTTCAGGTGTTGACACTCCTGGTCACATGGTGCAGCAGAGTGACAGTTTCTATGGTTTCACCTTTCTCTCTCTCCTGTTGTAGTGATGTTCGTTCGCTCCTGCAGCCTGATGATTCAATCCAGATCTGAGTTTTATTACGCCGCTGGCTGCTTGTTGTTCTCTCAGTGTAACAAGCTGCATGAGATAAGCCTCTTAGTGGAGGAAGAGCACGTCAGCGTCGCTCAGAAACACGCTGGACACTTTTACACCTCGTTCTTCATGGGGGACGGCTGTGATGAGCCACCAATGAAGACGTTGTTACTTCTAGTCAAAACCTGAGGTGAAAAATGATCCTTTTGTAAACCCTGTTTATATTGTGTTGTCAGCAGGTGGCGCTATAAACTACATTATTGTAACAAATATGAAAATAGGCTGTTCTTTAATTTCCCTTTGGGATTGATGAAGTGCTTTGAATTTGATCTGAATAAGATTTTGTTGTTTTAAAATAGGAGTACATTACAACATGTTTACTTAAAGGATTTCACTGATTTAACAGGTAATTAGGTAAAAATCTGGTGAAACTGAACTCAGTTGAACTCAAGAAGTGGTTTAATTCATAATTTCACATCAGGTGAGTGATCACTGTTCATACTTCCAGGTTGGTTTGGACATTTTCCTCCCTGAACAAATTAAATCATCATTTGAAAACTGCATTTTGTATTTAACTAACAAATAAAGTGAGTTTGATGGCTTTAAAATTTAGGTGTGACAGAGTATTTGCTAACAGCACTGCAATGTTGCTTTTAAAAAACATTAATCTAAACCACAGAGATGATTAGTTACATTTTCTTCATTTAATTTATTTTAATTATTTCATTTATTGATGAAAGTTTGTCTGCCTGGGTTTTATTTCCTGTGGGTTTCCCTGTGTGTGCAGTTTGAGATGCAAACAGCCGCCTAAAATGTTCTTCACGGACCCAATGATCAATGAGCCGACTGAGACCCGATCGATTTCCGGTCCTTCCAGTCGGCTCTGAGGAGAGCTGAGGGTGTGCGGAAATAAAAGCATCGCTCTGGGCGAGGCTGCGGTTCTGTCTGAGTCACCTTCGGTTTGTAACGACGCCTGGGTGAAAAATGTCCGCCTTCTCTAAAACAACCATCACTTCTTCCGATCAGACATGAGCTGATAGTAAAACATTTGAACCTGGAGCAGCTGTGTCCAGCTGAAACAGACTCAGAAACGTCTCAAAACTCTCAAAAAGTTCCAGATTTTCTGTCCTTCATTTCAGAAACAGAGTGAAATATTTCAGGTGTTTATTTCTTGTTATTTCTACAATTCTGGCTTAAAGAGAATGAACTTCTAAATTTTTAATCCCAGAAAATTACAATATTATGGGAAGGTCATTGCATGTTCATAGAAGGTCAAGTGGAGGCAAAAATGCTCTTATGACCAGCAACAACAAGGAGTGAACAAAAAATGGAGTTGGAACATTAATTATTTATTGCTACAATAAATTATCCAATTTATAGTTAATATTACTAAATTCCATTTGGCATAAATTACTTTTTAATCTTCTTGAATATGTAAATCTGGAAAACTGAAATGTTTGGTTTGAGACATAAAACAGGATGGTGATTAATGACAGCAAATGAGCTTCATAAATTGAACTTTTTCATGATGTCATTTTTAAGACATTCATCTGATCAGGAGGAAACGTTTGATCTCAGAAATCTGCAGCAGGTCCGAACAGAACCTCCTGAATCACCTTAGCAACCTCTGCTGGTGTCGTCTCTGCAAAAACCCGGAGCTCTGAAGAGCCGAATGAATCCACGGCGGCGGTAATCAGGGAGGCATGTGGCGGGATTATCATCATCTCTGGAGATCAAAAGATTAGAAATAATAACGGGAATCGGAGCAGGAGAACCAGGCCCACATGTCTGTGCACAGCAGAACCATCAGACAGTTCAGAACAGGGACTTCAGCTTAAAGTCGAACTGGATGTGATCTGCACAATATTTGCTCCTTCTGTTCAGGAAAAACAGAAGCAAGCATGACTGGAGCAGAGGAAACATTTGGCTGGAAATCCCTCCGTCAACAGCGACTGACAGGCTGGAGGCGATGCTGCGTCCTGGAGCTCTGATGCAGCAGTTTGAGAGTTTCAGGCTGCAAGATGGAGACTTTTCAGCTTTCTAATGACGTTCAAATCAGGGGCAAAAGGTCACAGTTTTTTCATATGTTACATTGAAAACAGAAAGATTTCATTACCTTTGGGGTATTTTTGTGATTATCCAGCATTGGTAACCCAAAGCTCGCTCTGTGTCCTTGTTGGTTTTCTATGTGGATCATGACCAAGAAACTGAGATCATAGAAACAGCTTTTTGTTTGGAGATGAAGGGATGAAGCTGCTGTTAAGGTTGGACGTCAGCAACTAATGTGAAAATATTTAAGACAGAAGAAATGATTCGAGCATCTAAAGTTGGATGTCTTGTTTCTCTGCAGGGGAAACTGGCTCTCTCTGCGTGAGCTAATGATATCTGTTGTTGCTTCAATAAAAAAAGAAATGAGCTAATTAACTGAAGTGAAGTTTTAATTTGCTTCATTCGCCCACTCTCACACTGCTACACTTTTTTTTTAGATCTGTTTGTTGGTTACATAACTTCTGTACAGGCAAATTATTTTTACATCGTCACGTGTTGGAGGAACAAGTTAGATTTGAAATGAATGATCAGAACTCAACATCTCATTTTCACAGTTGATTAAATTCGCCACATTCGACTGATTGATCTCAGATTGAATTTAACAGCTGCTGTAAATTCTGCTATGTAAAATATTTAATGTTCACACTATGAGGTCATCAGTCGCTCTCTGAGTCCAGACAGAAACCTGAAGAGGTGATCTGACTGGAAACACTGGGGAGATGCTGTGGAAACCTAAAAAGATGAACGAGGACCTCTACAGGTGGTGACATGAAACTGCAGAGACTGAGAGATTTAGTTTAATTCAAAACTCAGAAAGACAACACTGGTCCATTTATGAAGCAAAATGATAAAAACAAAAACAAAACACGAGACTGAGACCTTGAAAGGTTTCAAACCCTCTGGAGGGACGATCTGGCTGGACAGAGACACTTCCGGTCTGGATCACCGCGGAAACTGCAGAACCGACCTGGAGGAGCAAAGGATGGTTGTTTGGTTGGTTGGTTGGTTGGATGATTGGTTGGTTGGTTGGATGGTTGGTTGGATGATTGGTTGGTTGGTTGGTTGGTTGGTTGGTTGGTTGGATGGTTGGTTGGATGATTGGTTGGTTGGTTGGTTAGTTGGTTGGTTGGATGATTGGTTGGTTGGTTGGATGGTTAGTTGGTTGGTTGGATGGTTGGTTGGTTGGTTGGTTGGATGGTTGGTTGGTTGGTTGGATGGTTGGTTGGTTGGTTGGTTGGATGGTTGGTTGGTTGGTTGGATGGTTGGTTGGATGGTTGGTTGGATGGTTGATTGGTTCTCTGTTTTGTTCAGATGGATAACACAATGATAAATAAAAGGATAAATGGATGAATGATCATTTTTAGAGTCTAACAGCGTTTTTGGTTGAACGATTCAAGCTTTATATCTCATTAATTATCTTGCCAAAATGTTTTTCATGCTGTTTCTTATTCAATCTGTAAAATGAAACCTGGAAGTGCTGAACATATAAAGTTTCAAATAATATAAATTTAGTTTGAAATCCGTTTTTGGTTGGAATCCTTGATCATAGAAATCCATCAAGGCTCCTTCTGAACTCATCAAACATTAATCTGCACTAAATCAGCCAATTAACCAAAAAAATAGAAGAAAATCTTCTTGATTCAACTTGGTCGTTCATGTTTTCAGCCAAGACGAGGTCTGTTACCACAAATTTAATAAAGTTTTCAAATGAAAGGCAATAATGAAGTGTCCTAAATAAACCTTTACCAGAACATGATTTCCTGTTTATTTATTATTCCTTACGGTTTTGCTGCCCTCCTGTGGACAAACACCGACCTGCATGTGTCATCAATTAATGCTGATCTACTGAAAGAGAAAATAACTGATTTTAAAGATCAGACACTGTAAATACAAACAG